TTACGGCTTATAGGGCTTACAGGGTTTATAGGGTTTAGGGTTTTAGGGTTTATAGGGTTTAGGGGTTTAGGGGTTTAGGGTTTAGCGTTTGGGGGGCACACCTGGGAGGGCGTAAGGCTGACCTCTGGGTAGCCGCGCAGGCAGTCCTCAACCTTCTTGTGCCATTCCTACCACAAAACCCCAAACCCTACATTAGGCCACAAGACACTCTAGTTAAAGCTTACACCCGGAAGACTGCCTAGACACCCAAACAACCCTCTAGCATACCCTAAGCCCACGATGAAGGACCATAAGGGTTCTATTAAAGAGTACTTGGGGGTGTCCTGGTGATTCAGGAGATCCAAAACCCCAAAAGATGGCGAAAGCCTAACCTTCCGGGAAACCATTGTGGGTTGATTCTTTGCTAAAGAGTAATATAGGGGCCTAAGTAATTACCTATACTATTGTGGGGTTCCTTATTATGACTATGGCATAGTGGGCCCCCAAAACCCTATACTAATTTTTCGAGGCCCCTACATTAACGCCGTAGTCTGGGAATTCAATCAGAGACCCTATATAACTAGTCGATTCAAGAACAACCCGTTGTCAACTTTGGGAAAGAGCCCGTTTTGCAATACCGTCTTTAGGAGACAGGTCATTCTCGGGATCCATGCTAGTTCCGGGGAGGCTAGGGTATCTGCTATTTCGGGAGGATAAGTGTGTTCACAGACAATGGTTCAGGGTTTGAGATGTAAGGATTACCGGGTTTGTGGTTGGTGAGGGTTTAGGGCTAACTTAGGGGATGTAGTAATAATCCTTAGCCCCCGAACCCCTGAACTTAAACCCAGCGCCGCAAGCCCTGGCTTGAGTTTCTCAGACCCTGGCGCCTGGAATCCAAGAGTTCCTGTGTGGGCCAGGTCTAGGAGCTATAAATAAAACGATGGGTTGGGGCTTCGGGTTTTGGGTTTTGTGGGCCTCAATAATTAGAATAGGGTTTTGGCGGGCTCCTTATTAAAATTAGAGTATACCATACCCCGAAACCCTATTCTAATTGTTAAGGCCCCTAATGCTAAAAGAGGTTTACGGGTTCAGCTTTCGGGTTTGGGGGCCGGAGGCTTTGAAGAGGTTTACGAGTTGCAAGCTTCGGGCTTGTAATAGAAAAGCAGAAATGAATATGAAGGGTATGTTGGGGGGGTTTCCTTATTAGAATTATGTATCATATACCCCAAAACCTTATTCTACTCATTAAGGCCCCTGCATTAGCCTTTCCCTACAGGCCTAATCGCTCAGATAATACCTGCAGTGGCCCAAGGTCACTACAAAGCATTCTGTTACACCCTGAAAGGCCAGCTGGCCCTCAGATCAGGCCTTGCTTTCACGTAGCAGCCTCCACAAGTTAGCTTATAAAGTCCCTAAACCCTAAACCCCACAAAACCCTAAACCCTAAACCCCAAACCCGGTATATGGTGCCTTGTTGACCGTCTAGCAGCAAGCCCTAAACCGAAGCTTCACGCTGCGGCACCGCCACTGGAAGCGAAATATCTTGCAAATCCACATTACCCATCGTCTCCTTTGTAGTTACTTTTTGTGGTTTACATTTAGGACCCTACAAGGTAATCCCCAAAATGAACTACTATGGAGCCTACAGGTAGAGCACCGTAGATACCCCCTTCGTGAGCCATAGATATATAATGGCTTAGCTTCCGAGTAAGACTTAATTCCTACGTACACACAAAGCAAAACTCTGAAGAAGCCTTGCCTCTGCGTCACGCTCTAAACCCTGAACTCTCAAGATCCTTGTGTCAATCTTTAGTATGAGGACCCTGAAGCTTAAACCCTAATCCTCGAAACAGGCATCATCACCGACTGAATTCCGACACCCCCTGGGCCGTGGCGTCTCTGCTAGAGGCTGTCTGCCTTGTAGCGGGTTTCTGGTTGAGGGTGTAGGGTTTTGAGGGTGAGGGGTTGTTGAGGCTTTGTTGTGGCGGTTTGTCGGTCTTTTGCTGAGGACGTGGGGTGATTCGATCCGGATTTGGATTTGGCTACAGGAGTTGGGTGCGCACGGAGACTTTTTATTTTTGGTAGTGGGCGGTCAGTGCATCGAATGGTAGCCCTTAAGCTGGGTTTGGGGTTTGGGTTTAGCGTTTAGGGCTTCCGAAACCTGTGTTGGAAGCGAATGTCGGGCTCATTTTGCAAGGCCCCCACGGCCTTTGTGTCGAGGGTGTGGTTCGATTTCACTCCCGATCGACAAAGACTATACAGAGATACACGGTACTTACATACGTTATATACCCTAGCCCTCCAAAGACCCCCAGAACCAAGGCCTTCACGTAAAGACCCTTGATCCCTGAAAAGAGCCCACCCTCTCACGCATATGTGGTGTTAGCTAGTTTAGACTCTTCCGAAGAACCAGCTTTCCAGCAAACGAAATCATGCAAACCATCCTGCTTTAAGGTCTGTTGGGTTTAAATTTTCGTTCGGAGTCTTAAGACAAACCTTTGCGGGTCAAACATAGGTGAGCCTTACACAGTAGTTTAGGCTGTTTGGGGTTTAATATCGGTTTTTTTCCTTCGAGGCCTTTAGGATTAATTCAGGGTATTTTTGGGCTTCCGAACCTGGGCGAAGCTTCGGCCTGAATGCTTTAGGGTTTTTAGGGTTTCAGTGGTTTAGTTTTAAGGAATTTAGGTTTAAGGTGTGGGATTCGGAATTTGGGCTTCGGGTTTGGAAGAGGGGCCGCGTTTCAGTCAAAGGTTTGCCGTGAGCTTGTGCGGTTCAACGAATCCGAGATTTTCTTTTGGGTGTTAACATTAGGGCTTTAAGTTTACAATAGAATTGGGAATTTGGGTGTGGAGCAGCGAAAGTGTTTAGGCACAAGGCTTGGTCTGGGATAGTGCATATTGCAGGCATCCAGCTTCAAGATTGCCCTTGCTTTGGCACACAAGTTTAGATAGGGCTTATTTGTGAGCCTTGGAAATCCAAATACCGAAATATTCAGAACCGCGTACTAATTGACCAAAGACCCTGAAAGCGTAACCTACTTATCCGAAGTGGAGCGGGGCCAGCAGTGATGCAGTTTGAATGGCTTTTTTGCGTCGACAAAATATCTCGAGCAGCCCTCTTTCGGGCCGTAATCTTTCCCAGCAAAGTCCGCTTCTTCGCCCGCATCGACTGAAAACGAGTCTGATTCATGCGCATAACCACTGCTTCAAGATTCGTAGGGTTTGCTGCACGAGCAAGCCCCTTGACCCACCTCATGGAGTCTTCGTCCGTGTAGCAATGGTGATATCTTGTGTTTTGTCCTTGGCTGCGAAACTGCGATATCTGTCTCAAAAGTTCTGTTGTCGGTGCAAAGAACAAAAAAGTTGATCCGAGCAGCTTGTCCTTCGGGTCTCCAACAATTGGTGCTCGAACGTATGTAATTTCGGCTTGATGGCCCATGTCAGCTCGCCTTGCCTTCCAGGGTCAGTATGCAGAATCTATTTTGGGAGCCCTAGCTAGCCTAGAATGGAAAAGCATAAATCTGTCAACATGTTCGTCTTTATGGCCTGCAGGAAATTCGAGTGAGTTCCAGGTGGGTGTTGATAAACAGCATTCCCTCAGAATAAATCGAGTTGGCCTCGCTCTGTGTCAAGAATCGAGAAGCCCTTTCGGTCAGCCCGAACCATCGTGCCATCGCTGTCCTTTGAATGACGACTTGACTGCATTAATTGAGACAAAGACTTCCAGGAAAAACAAACATAAAATTTTATCAGAGCTTCATCCCGACAGCTTGCAATGGAATCTTCGGATCGCTTGGCCAAGTAGACCGATTGGCTTGAACATTTGCCTCCAACCAATGACCAAAAGTGCGCCCAGGACCCCTGGCAGGCGTGCATTTCGAAGCAAGCCTTGATACATCAGCGAGGTACTCCAGCACGATGCGACCATTGAAAGCTTTGCAACTCATCGAAGGGATTCGGAGGCCTCCAGAAGCTTTTTTCATAACCTGATGTTCGTATTCAGGGGAGAAGTTGCCTTATTTGTAAATCTTACATGACACTATGTCGACAACTGTTGAAAACAGCAGCTCTTATGCAGAGGCTCCAAACCATATCGGAAGTTCCGCTGGTACGAATGAATCTTTCTCTCCTTTGCCCACTTTTTGAAGTCGGCATGAGCTCTGCTGAAAAGGATGCCCAAGTCTCGAGCAGGGTCGCCATACCAGCCCGACTTTGCCAGTGTGTACCTCGGATCTTCGCCCAATCTCGTTCGAAGTGTTTGTTCGAAATCAAACAATTGCAAAGTCGAAAGTTGCCCTTCATGACAAGAAACAGCGAGCTGCCGTTTGCCGTGAACAGCAACCCCAAATTGACATTGTGCATCGAACATAGACGAATAACGTCTATGTCGAAATTCGGCAGTAGGAGCAAGGGACCTAAATAAAACATTTGGATAACGACAAGATTATATCTAGGACTTGTTACAAGAAATTATTCTACTGTTCACCAAGAATCAAAGCTGGTTGAGGTTTAGCTTTGCCATTATCCATTCCAAAATGTCGCGATATATTGTCGTTCGCCACAAAGCTTGGTCACCAACATGCTCGAAGAATAGATCTCTTCTGCGACCAGTGCCCGTAGCGTCGCAAAAGAAGCAGATTTTGGTTGACGACCATCCATCTTCAAAGCCCCAGATTAGCTTATGCCAAGCCAAATCACCACGAAGCTCCGTCACCAAAAACTTTGCACCCAAATTTTTCCCTGCGTTTTCTTGATCTTTGGTAGATAGCGGTTTGCCCATATAACCGACTGTCGGGAACAGACCCTTGCTTGCCCACCCCATAGACCAAACAATCCTTCGAAAGATTGGATACAGCGTTTCGGTTCCAGGAAGCAAGAACTTCGAGCGGATTGTGCAAATCAAGAAACGACTGAGTCGGATGTTCTTTGGCCGGAACAAGACCAAATTCATAAAAACTGCCAGTATCTTTTCTTGAGACTCATGCGTTCCATACTTCGTTTCGTCAGCATAAATCCCTACAGGAATAATATCGTGATCAGGCTGAGCAGTTGCCCAGCCCACATTTGTCTCAGCAGCTCGCCGCCAATAGCTGCGCACAGATTCAGGTTCAACAGTGAGATCCAGAACTGTATGTACATAATGAAGAACATCATGCGGGTCCAGCAGTGGAATGTCCATCGATGTCACTTGTGTCTGGTTTCCAGCTTCGATGGATTCAGAGGCATCGGCCTCCTCATATGCGACTTTCACAGGAACTGTAACCATCTTCGGTGCCTAAGACGCAGCATAGAAGGATAACATAAAATGATGATAATAATAATATGAATATAATAAGAAGAAAACCCAAAATAGTCGGGATAGAATCATTCCGATGTTTGTATTCATGGCCTAGCCACCAGTTGCAAAGGGACCACTCTGAAGAGATCTCTGGCACTGTTTTTCTCGCACTGAAAGCTTGCAAGCCTTCGCGTTCTTGCGGAACATTTTCCTTTGCTTTCCTGGTCGTGAAAACTAATAAGAAGAGGCTTCAATTTGGAATGAATGGATACTTCGTATCTTCGCCTAGATAAAGTCGATAATATATTATAATGACAAGGAGCCGCTGCAGTAGTCTTTGCAGTGCTCAGAGCCATCCGAGCACTTTCTCCCTGCAGGCACAAAATAAGAAACACTAACAAACGAGCACACTGCCTTCAGCTACTGACTTGGAAAGCAGCACATCAGTGGAATGAATTTCGATGAGGCTCTCGATCACCAATCCTTTCCAGCAGCTCCTGCACCGTGCCATTGTTATCGGGAATCTCATCTTCGTCACCTGCCAAGGCAAGACACACACGCACACATGTAGATCATGAGCCAGAGATCGACACCTTCCGCGAAGTCTGATTTCTAGCACCGTCGCAGCAACTGCATCGCCACTGTGAAACCCTGCTCCTCTTCCAATAGATCTAGGGAAGAGAAGCCCCAAACACAGCACGAGGATGCAGCTTGTGCACCACAAAGCGCTCTGTGGTTTACGACTGCTTTTGTAGCAGGCTCGCCCGCTGGCATATCATCAGAGATCGATACTAACTCGAAGATTTCAAACGGATAGAACTGTTGTGAGCATGCCCTAGCTCACTTCTAGATTCTTCCAAAACGAACATCGACATCGCAGCAGCACGGGTCCCAAGCACCAAAATATTATCTGCTTTGGAGCCCGAATCTAAACCCAAAGCCCTCGGAGGCACGTGCATGCATCCACAAGATATTAGTTGATGGAACGTCCCCGCTGATGCTCTGTCTTCACTTGGACTTCTCGGCCTTGGCCTTAGCCTTTGGCTTTGCCTGGCCTTTGATGACAGTAGCGGCTTGTTCGAACCCCGTGATTGCCGTGTTCAGCAGGGTGGCCAAGCGAAGCACAGCATCCAAGGATTCCTCAGTTGATCTTGATACTTTCAAACACAGGTCATAGGTTGTTTAGGTTGGGACATTGCTTTAGGGTCGACCCCGCCTTGGTGTCCAAAGCGTTCTGCATATCGGACCGCGCTTGCTTCAGGTTCTGCTCTGCCTCCTGCATGCATGGAGCTCAGGGTTTAGGATTATTTTGGGTTTCCCGGAATAGGGTTTGCGTCAGTTACAGTCCCCAAAAAGCCTGAAATCCCCTAGGGCACCCAGGACCTTCTAGAAGCTAGGTCGACAACTAGGTTGAGGGTGTGCCCAGGGTTCCATGATTTTGGGATTGGGGCTGTGTGCTGCCTATGATTTGGGACGTGGTGGCTTGTAAGCAATGGAGACCCAGTCTGTTTCACGACATCGGAATGGGGTTCATAGTGTCCTGGTTTTGGGGTCACAGGGTCTTTACAATGGATTGGGTTGTGGAATTAGATAGAGTCAGATAGAGTTTTTCCTCCCTTGCAATTGACGAGAATAGACTAGGGTGTTATTAAGTTTGGGATGTTAAGATTTCGGTTTGGAAGCTACAGCATCAAGCATGCTCGATGAGACGGGGCTTGTAGTCTCAAGCTTGACAGCTTCAGATTGCGAGTAAGAAGTTTTAGGGCTGGTGTTCAAGGTTGTGAGGTTTAGACTAGGGACATGGACCCTGACATCCCCGAACGAAGTGAAAACTGAAACCAAAGCTCACGGAAAGAACCAAGCGGCAATCTCAAGACCCAAGACACAACCCCGCAAACCACAAAAGCCACCCAATTCGCTTTGAACCATGCGTGTATCCCTGGAAGCCAATTAACGACCTAGGCCGTGCCTTCAAGTCGTTCTCGGCAGCAGTTCGAAGATGCTGGGCCCTTGGAGCCAGAGCGAGACAGCTTGGGATTTGGTTGCCAGAAACATCCTACCCCTTGAGACTGAACTTGCAACCCTAAGCCCTCAACCCTGAGCCCAGAGCATTTGGGCACTCTGCTTATCCAGCTCAACCTTCTCCTGGATCTTCTTTCCAGCCTTGGCGATGGCCTGAGGTGCGGTTGTTTGAGGAAACCCCCGACGACAGAAGCAAAGGTCACTGGCTCAATAATGTTGGCCTAGCGCATGGCAGATCTTGCTTTGGTAGCAGCTTGCTTCAGCTCCTTCTGGCTTTGATCTTGGTCTTTGTCCTTCTTGGTCTTCTTGCCTTGCTTCTTGTCCTGGCATGCAGGAATAACATGTCTGGGGTTATATTACACGAGGTTTCAGAAAGGACTTATATGGGTTCGAACCTACTCGATCACGTGCCCACTCCTACCTTTCTGCCCACTCCTACCTTTCAGGGATAGCAAGCAATCGCAAAATTATTATGTTGGCCTTCTTCGACTTCTTGGGTTTCTTGTCCTTCTTCTGTTTCTTATCTTTCTTATCTTTCTTCTGTTTTTTCTCGCTAGTGCTGTCGGACGACATTGAGTTGCCGGAGTCGTCCCCCTCAGCAAGCTTATAAAGCATCTCCATCACTTCCTCCTCTTGGTCGATTTCGACCTCCGAATCGAAAATGAGGAACTGCATCATGTCCATAGCGTCTGGCAAGTCTGGATGCTTCTTGACCTCCGTGTCACGAAGCCGATCGTCATTCAGTTTCCTGAGAACGATTGCATCGGCATTTTCGACTCCGAACTTAGCCTCGATCTCGCTTCGCAGCATCCACCTTCGGACACCTTTTTTCTTATTGGTGTTCTTGGTCTTGCAGTTGATGTACAGCTGGCTTTCTTCCCATTTGCCACCACAGTTCAGCCAAGCTTCGAAAAGGACACTGTTCTTTGTGGAGTCTTAGTGGCAGGACTAGAGTGACTAGAGCTTGCAAGCATGCCCACACGTAGGTTTGATCACAAGACCGTGATACTTACGAGTAGGCACCCGGAACTGACATGATGCAGAGTCAGATCTCGCCCAACATGTTTGTTGAGGTGAACACCTCAGGGAGCCCGAAAACCTGGTGGCCTGGTTTGAAGAGGCTGGGAGGTTTGTGGAAACTGCCATGCAAACCAAGTAGCCCCCCTTGGCTCCGGCACCCATCTTTCGGATTTCTGTTGGCGTCTTCTTGCATTCTCAGATCGTCGGTTCATAAGACATAAGAGAGAATACGTGTAAATGACACATGCCACTCAGCACACTAGCGACTGCTTGTCACTGATCACACATGATCTAGATTCTGGGGGCCCCACCATGCACAGATCTCCAATACCGCATGTATCTGGCGTGTGCTGCCTTCTTCTTCTCGACTTGATCAGCAGCTTTTTTTGCAGCCTTTGACCCTTCATCATCTTTCTTGTCTGTCTTCTCACTCTTCCCTCCGTCCATGGTGGCTGCAGCTTCGGTTGCTTCAGTCGTCTTGTCTTCTGTGGTCTGTGTCTGGGGGGTCTTCTTGTTATCAGGTCCTATGTCAGGGGTTGGGGCCTCGGACTGGCTAGCGCTTGGGGAGGGCTGCTGGGACGACGGCGGAGAGCTGTGGCGGTGGTGGAAGTCGGGGCCGAGATTGCTTTCTTGTCTGGGGTCACAGCTTCGTCAAAACTCTTGTCCAAGGTTTTCGCGACCTGTGGCAACTCGTTGTCAAGAAGCCTGTCCACTGTGTCAAGCCTTTGGAAAGCAGCTGCTAGCTCAGAGTCCACGCTAGCCGATCTTTTGTAAGGGGGCGTGGCCAGAGAACCCTGAGACCACTTCCTGTCATAAGTGGCCTGACTTCCAAAAGAGCCGGACTGGAGGCTCTCGCTTCGATTCCTCCAATGGAGGTGTTCCTCAGAGAGTGCTTGCTGGCTGCAATTCCAATCCCTATCATACCATCCGGCACCCCATGACCAGTCGTTCCAACCAAAGTTGCCCCACGACCCCCAAGCCGTGGCACCAGACCAAGACTCTGGCCACGTCTGCGCAGTATGTTCTCGTGCATCCTCGGTCGCTTTCTGATCCGGATCCTCAGCCGCTTTCCGATCCGGGGTATCGCCATCCGGATCATCCTTCTGGGTTTCTGGCACCGAGTCGCTTGGGCCTCTTTGGGAGGGAGCATCATTGGAAACTTCCATCGGGGCTCCTTCTGGGACTTCTTTGGGGGGTTCCACGCTAGCTGTCGGGACCTGCTGAGCCTCCTGTTCTTTGACTTTGGGGGTCTCCGGGGCCTTATGCCCCATGCCTTTCCCTGTCGGGATTGTCCTGATCCTGACAGCCTCGGCACTCTGGCCTTTGTCCAGCTTTTCGGACTCTTGCCCGCTTTGCTTGAGAGCCTGCCAAGCATGGGCTTGGCTTAGGGGTTTAGGGTTCAAGGGTTTAGGGTCCAGGTGTTTTAAGGTCTTAGGCTTGTGGAATTAAATCAGTCGGGGCAAAACCTATAAGCGTAAATATTCTTGCACATGTGCAATCTTGCTGGCGCAGGCATTGCTCGACATTTGGGATCAGATGAAGGCCAGCCTCCTCGAGCAGCTCCCCGGTCAGGGTGTCCTGGGAGTCGGGGCTTCGACCTGGGTCAGATACGGATCGGATCTTTAAGGGGTGAAATACAGCCCCAAGGCCCCAACGTAAACCTCCTTTGCCGGACCTTGTGACAAGTACGAATCTTCGACAATGGGATTGAAGGCTCCTCTAGATCATGTGATACCATAGTAAGGCTGAAGCTGGGTCGGTTTTGGCTCTGGAACATCCATCAGCTTCCTAACCTTGGCCTGGCGGGTTTTGGCCTTGGCCATTGCCTCCTCAATCACCCTTTTGTCTACAGGCATTGCCCTACCTGGAAGGCAGCACTGCCACTGTCTCCTTCAAGCTCAAACGGCTAGTCGCAAATAAGTGCAGAAGAGTACATGTTACGTCCAAGAAACACTCAGCCGAAGGCTTCATAACCTGGGGTTTTGTGGGTACTAGAGTTCACGCTGGATTCACGGGGATTGGGGTCCTTGTCACGGTATTCGGGGGCCTTTCACGGAGATTTCACGCTACTTCACGCTGAGGGTGTTTTGCATATTCCGCGTCAAGTCGCGAATTTCTCTTGAAAGCAACGTAACCCTTGCAGCCAAAGCCTAAGTCCCACCCCGGTATGCACTTTCCTGCAAGATTGGTCAAGGGAAAGCCTAGAATGGATCTAGTCGTCCTGGCGGGGGCCGTTTGTTTTGGTAAGGAAGACTTCGTCTTGGTTTTTTGTTGGGACTCAGGCTGCCGGGTGCTACGTAGGATTGCATTGCTGGAACAAGTCAGCTAGCACTAGTCGTCCAGCCCCTTGGTGAACTTTGGCTTGAACGAACCATCCTTAACTCTGTCCAAGAGAAACTGCTTCAGCTCAGCCAGGTCTGCTCCAGACCAATCGTGGCACAGGCGAGCATCCTGCCAGGCAAGCTTCGGTCGACTTGGAGTAGTCAGGATTAGTCAGAATAGGAGTGAATGCAAAGGCGCTGCCTGTGCTGTTTCTTGATTTTGCCACAGAGCACTTGCCACTGCTGCTCGAAGATGCATCTTATGGCTCTCCTGCACTGCAGAAACATCTAATATAATGATTCGAGTCAATAATCTAGTCTGGCTGACGAATCGAATCTGCACGCACTGTGATTCCTTGAATGCATTGTGCTCTCGGAAGATCTTCTTTGCATAGCCACGTGGATAGACTTGACTGACCTTCAGCTTGTGGGACCCATACCTGAGCCGACAGTCTGATTGGAGGAATGGCGGCAAGCCAACATCTGCTGCTGCTGCTGCTGATCACATGCCAGAGACTCAACGAAAGCACGTGGGATTGTGTGATAGCCGAGCTGAGGCAGCCAAGGCACACCTTTTCAACCCCGAATTTGTTCTTTTTCCGAAGCACCATTCCCAGAGAAGAAAGATGTAGAGCTTTGCGTTTCTTCTGCGTGAGCTTTCGATACAGTCTCTTTGTCCATGGCCTCGTAGCTATGCACAGCGTGCGGAGATCAAACTAACATATGTCCCTAGATTAACATAACACATGCATCTTCTCAGGTCTTTGCGCTATGGACATCGCGATGCTCGCCTTCGGGGCAAAGTGGCCCCATGTTCCCATCCAACTGGGCGTCAGTGAGGGTTAGGGGATTTACAGTGCTGGGTTTTAAGACTAGGTTTAGGGGGCTTAAAGGTACGGGGTTCATCGTACTTTCGGAGAATTCCAAACTAGCAGCTGCTTACGGCTGTTCAAGCAGAGTTCCCCTACTCCTCAGATGTAAGGGTATAGGGTTTATCAGAATCACATAAGGGTTTGAGGTTTAGGGTAGCTAGACACACCCATGTGTTACTGGAGTCGCTTTCAATGGGGAGGTTCTGAGCTTCGGGGTTTGTAATCACACTAGTACCCATGCGTGCAGAAGTCTCTGGTATCTACGGGTGATTAGCTATGAATTACTATTAAGTTAGCTGCCCCAAAGAGTGTAACCTGAAATAGAAACCGAAGCCCAAGATCTAAACCCTCAAGTTCCCAGCGACACTTGTCCCAAAGACTCTTCCCTGAAACACTCAGCGCTTATTTGTAACCCTCCGTATCTGTAAATCCTTTATGCAGACACCGGCCTGCCCACAATACCAAAGTCGGAAATCCGCGAACTCGGAAAAAGTTCTAAGCCTAAGCGATAATCGCCCCATATGTTATCCTTTAAAATCCCAAAACACCTAACCATTCAAGCCTTAAACCCATAATTAATTCGACAAACAGCTCTAAGCACAACTTAGCACTCATCCAGCGCCGTCTAGGTCAGGAGGTTTTGTGCGTGTGGGGGAAGTCGAACACCAGGCATTAAACATATCTATTTTTGGCAGACAGCTAGGATACACCATGGAATCTTCCCAACAGAGCTAGTGTTGGCTGGAATTGGAAATACATGAGAATGACTGGGACTGTGGCAAAGCTTGTCTCCGATACCGGAGACCCAAAGCTTTCATCTTTTCGACCAGGAAAACCCAGTCTGGATGTAGAGGAAGCTGGCTGGATCGAGGCTGTTCCAGCAGCCAGTAGACAGATCTGGCTGTCGCCAGAAGCAGCAACATCACTGTTCGGGCCGTCAGCCTGAGAATGTGAGGCTGGTCATTAATAATTACTATGGCACCCAGCACAACTAAACGCAAAGTCATTGCACGTCGGCAGACACATTTGCATGCCGGACATAGGCAAGAGAGCAGTCACCCAAAGGTTGCTCAGGGCTTCGTCGGTGAGTTCCCTGATTGATCCATATAAAGGATGTACACGGAAGTCCTGCAGATACGAGTCCATCTTCTTCCAGCCGTAGGAAAAGCCGTACAGCATAAAGGAACCCTTTCCTGGGATTGATAGGGCTTTTGAGGCTTGGGGTTTCAGGGTTGTGGGTACTTGGGGTCGTTTACAATTTAAGCTGACTAGGGCCGGCGTTTGAGAAGAGTCTCGGTTTTAGGGTATTGAATTAGGGTGCTTTGCACTTAGGTCGGGGTTGAGGGGGTTTCGAGCACAAGGGTGGATCGGGCATCTAGTCTCTCAGACTCTCGAGGCCCGTCAATCTATTGCAGGCCAGCAGGCACACTCAGTAGATCGTTGTGATCAGGTCGGGCAGCGACATCATAATAGGCACTGAGCAAAAGGCCAAACACCCCAGTGCACAAACATGACTAGATCCTGGCCTTCTTTGTTGATTGGAACCTGAGCAACAAGCTGGCGTGTCGAGCAACTTATTCAGAAGAAGCTTAGCCAACAAGTTCAAAGGTCCGAGCAGAATTCCCGATAAAGATTTCCTTGTCCAGAACAGAAATCGACGAGCTTCAAATCCTTGCAAAATTGGACATCGGTTCTGAACCGCGAGAGTGAGAGGTACACAGATCCGAGTCGGTGGCTCTCTTTGCAAGAGGCGACTCTGCCCCAGTGATTTGTGCCATAAAGTCGCAGCAATGTATCCTGAGGCATAGGATTGCTGGGCTTATGTTCAGGGCTTAGGGATTTAAAGGCTGATAGAGGTGTTACCGTTCTCTTGGCTTGGGAAATCTCAAATTGCTTCCATTTAGAGTTTTCGGGCTTAGATTTCTAGATGCTAGCAGCTATTAGCCTCTTTATAATTTACAGACTGCAAACTCAGGGCTAGTGGGGGTTGGGAGTGGGTTCAGGTTTGAGCCTTCTTTGAGTTGACCTAGGAGAGTATATTATATAGGTTTTCGGCTGGATCTTTGCCAATGGGTCATTTGAGAAAAGCTGAGATCCCGGCAGAAGCAAAGGTGCCCCCATGAGCCGTAAAAGTAGTGCCGTCGATGAAGAGAGGGCCAGGGGAGAGCTCTGACCTCGATCTGCTGTCATGCCTCGGGGCCCCTAGCAGCTGCCTCTGTTGTAAAAGAAGCCCAAAGGCACTGGAACGAACCAGCAAGTTGTCCTCATGGCTTGCAAAGCATAGACTTATCGATTGATAAACGAGCATGCATCCAAGCAGGCATTCGCAGTCTGCAGAGTCCAACATTTTGGCATCGAGCTTTCGAGGCTCCAAAATCACGGCAGTCCGCAAAACACCGCGAGCTTCTGTCCTCATCTCAGAGCTCAGAACGACATCTTCAGCAGTCTTCGATGGGGATCCATCCGGCTATCATCCGAGCAATCCTGTACCTAGACACAGCACAGGCTGGAATAATATTAATTATTAGTTCAAGCTCCAACACAAGACCCGACTCGGGAGACTAGGCAGCAGGCATCCCCACGATATTGTTGTTCCAATTGATAGTCACACCCTGACAGGCATTGACCTGACACAGGGCAATATTGCAGGATGTATTCCTCAATCGGAAGCTTGGATCAACGGGCCTTGTAGTTCAGGTTCAGCGCTGCGTTCACTTTCTTCAGCCTGCTGTCAGAAGCCTGGTACACATAGAATCTCCCATTCAGCAAAACCTGGAGGCTGCTAGGGGACGGGGAGTCGGACTTCGGTGGCGCCCGCATCGTCCATCCCCCAGCTTCCTGGATCACCTTCCAGGACGGGTGGACGAACTGCTTTTGGGTAGATTTCAGCATTGCAACTTGTACCAGATTGCGTCGCTTCAGGTCCTGCCAGCAGGGGGGGTTCGTAGTTTCGTCATTTAGGATTTGTTGTTTTGTACGAATCACGAACCTCGCTCAAGATTGTCTTCTTCTTCTCGGGATCCTTTGTCTTTTTGGGCTTTGCACTGCGGGGCGAGAGGATGGGCATATCAGACAACTCCTGACAGGATGCAAACCTATGGCAATGTTTGTCCAAGATAACAGAACAGATTGCACATGCAAGAACCAGGACATGCGTAGCATGTCCTTCTTTGAAGCATCAGTGGAAAGCCTGTCGTCATCAGACTCCCCATCTTCATCACTGTCGTCATTGGAGCTTGTGTCGCTCTCTTTCTCCTTGGAGCCTCTGGCCTTCGTCTTCTTAGGGGGGCGGGAGTCATCTTCATCGTCGCTGGAAGCAGGTCGCTTCTTGTCGGGGATGGCATCCTTGAACCCTTTCCCTTCATCGAAAAACTTCTGTAGCTGGGCATCACGTGCCTCATCATCAACATCTGAATCTGAGTCGCCGCCTCGCTTGGGCTTGCCTTTGGCCTTTGCTTTACCTTTACCTTTGGCTTTTGCTTTACCTTTTGCTTTCGCTTTCGCTTTCGCTTTAGCAGCAACTTGCCGTGCCTGGTTCAAATCCTCAGAACTTTCTTCATCTTCCTTTGCTTCCTCCTCATCATCATCTCTCTTGTCTTTTGCACCTGGCTTCTTCTTTTCAGCCCTCAGCATCTTGCGAACAGCTTTTTGGGCCTCTCTCAGGAATCTCTCGCAGGAAAAGATAAGCGGATGCAAACACTGATTTTTCTGAACAAGCATATGAATCGACGGAACTCACGCATACACACTAAGAGTTGGAACCCAGACGGCCTGCAAAAGACTTTCGCTTTCTTGCCCAGGCACTGTCTTCTTTCTCGAAGCTTCCAGACAGGATAGGAAGATAGCTGCCTGCTCAGACAGATCGTAGGACGCCGGCAAATCGACCAAAGGCTTTCGGTCCTGGCCCAGAACATGCAGGGATTAAGCATGCGATTTTAACAAACAGAAAAGCAGCAAGGCATCCACAGGCAAGTCCCACCCCGAATGCGCCCACAGCTTTCTGAGCAGCACTTTCATCGCCCAAGGCGTCTTGCTTCTTTTGGTCCAAAGTAAAGGCAAGGGCTTCTGCAGCCGAAGTGACTGGGGGCAACGACTTTTCGCCTGCTTCCTTTTTCCCCGGAAACTGCTCGAGGTGTCGATTGCGCTTGGCCTGGCGGGCCTCTTTCTTTTCATCTTCAGATTCTCTCTTCTGCTCTTCCCTCTTCTCTTTTCTCTTTTTCTTTGGGGCTTCCTCCTCCTCCTCCCCATCCTGATCTTTATCATCTTTCTTCTCTTTCTTCATTTTGGCCTTTATCTTCTTCTCTTTGTCTGTTTCTTTTCTATGACCTGCCTCTGCTGCCTTCGCTGTCTTCCCTTCCAGGATGCCTTCTACCTTCTCCTCCTTTGCCTTTGTCTTTGCTTTCTTTGACTCATCCGCCTCTACCTCTGATTGCTCCTGCACTTTTGTCTTCCTGGAAACCTCTTCCTTGGATTTCTTTGACTTCTCCTCCTCCTTGACCTTTTGCTCCTTCCTGCTGCCCTTTTCTGGATTTGTATCCTTTGTCTCAGATTTTCTTTTTGGCCCCTTCTCAGTGTCCTTTGCCTGTTGTTTCGAAGCTGCTGGGATCGTCTTTGCTTGCTCATGCTTCTTGTCCTCCTCTCTTGGCTTTGCCTGCTCATCTTTCTTCTCCTCCTCTCTTGGCTTTGCCTGCTCATCTTTCTTCTTCTCCTCTCTTGGCTTAGCCTGCTCATCCTTCTTCTCCTTGTCTTTTGGCTTCGCCTGCTCATCATTCTTCTCCTCCTCTTTTGGCTGGTCTTTATTCTGCTCCTTGTTTGGCTCTGGCTCAGAACTGCTCTCATCCTTCTCATCCGCCTTTGCCTTTGACTCTGAATCCTCTGGGATCATCACTTCTTTCTTTTCTTTATCCTCCTCCTCCTCCTTTGCCTTCGGCTTCGAATTCTCTGACATCATCATGGCCTGCTCTTCCTTCTCCTCTCTTGCCTCTGCCTTCCCATCCTTAGCGTCTCTGTCCTCCTCCTCTTCCTCCATCACCTTTGGATTCTCATCCTTCTGCTCCTCATTTTTTTCGGTCTCATCATCAGAGCTCTCATCCTGGGATAGCTCGCCCAGGCATCGTGTTGAAGCATCATCTGAGACCTCTGGATCATCTTCTTTATCCTCTTCCTCGCTGACCTCTGCTGCTTCGCAGAGGTCTTCTTCTCCTCCTTCTTCTCCTCGTTCCTTCTTCAGTTTCATCTGCGCCTGTAGTCAGATTTTGGAAGGACTGTTTGGAAATGCAATAGGAAGCTTTGGGTTTGAATTTGGCCTTGTGCTCCCGCACCACATCTTTCAAGATCGTCAAATTTTGCAGATTGCCCCTGACGGGAAAACAAGAAAAATCGACAAAGAGACACAGACACGTGAGATTGTGCAAACCCGAACTTACTGGAAGATCATGGGCCTCGTCGCTGCATTCCGTCGACCTCGACGCCGAACATAGCTCAGCATCTCGCGTTGAACCTTGGCCTCTTCCTCTGCCCATGCCTTCCAAAGAAATATCAAACTTCGAATCTTTTCTGACAAAACCGAGTTTCCTATGCGTGCCTCTCTCTGGTACTTGAGCTTTCCATTCTTCACCAAGGGCTTCAGAGCGGCAGTGTGGGAGAGGGCAGCCTGGCGAGGGGAGCAGCTTTAGGTTTTGACTCTGAGGAGGAAAGAAACATGGCAACTCTACCACCATCTCCCGATAAGTCGGATAGAACTCCAGGAAGGTTGCGAAGAAGTCAAGGACAAAGGCAAAGTTATCGGCCCCGTGGGGCTCCTCGGCCTCAATAATGCAACATCTTTTCGCTGCAAATTAAAAGGAAACCCCGACTGATTTTTTATGAGCACCCCACGATATCAAAAGTGATGCCCTTCGAGGGCACATCGACGAAGGAGTAGTCGAAGGGAGCCTCGCAGAATCTGTTTATCCCGAATCTCTGACTGCAACTTGTCTGGGGGAATGCCTTGTCCATCCGAAGCTTTTTCTCGACCTTTTTCTGACTTATCCCATGGTCGTCTGCAAGCTTCATAAACCTGTTCATCTTTGAGTCAAGAAGCTACACCCTACAGTGGCATTCAAGATATTTCGAGCCTTTTCGTCATCAGATTCTGATACTCGAGGCGTTCCATGTAGAAGACCTGCTTACCCAAACAAGAATGGAACTTGAAAGCACGTGGTTATTCCTGGCCTTCAAGGTCTCGACACGCTTCGTGTTGAACGGCGTGTTCGGCATGGCTGCTCCGTGAGGGCGGAGAAATTATAAAGCCGGGCAGGTGTAGCAGCAGACAGCTTCTAATTGTAATGCCTCGTCCAAGCAATGCATCGCAGTAGCAGCGGTGAAATAAATTATGTATCGACCACGAAAGAAACCCGAAACCCTAAACCCTAAAACCCTAAACCATCATCCTACCGAGCCCAGCTTGCTGTCGCAGCAGATGCCGATAAAGCTTTTGATCAGAAGCCGACCAATGCAACAATTCCCACAGTGCAGTTGATCCCTGCCTGATGTAGAATCGCAGCCGTGGCATTTCTTGTTGATACCTGGAGGTTTGCATATCGGGGCTTAAATATTAAGGTTATTAGGTCACAACCCCTAGGCTGGCGCACGAGCCGATCGCTTCAGTGCCGCTCCACGCATCGGGGAAAAACATGGCGGCAACGCTTTGCATGTTCAGAACTGTTCCATAAGAGCCTTCGACAGCCCTCGTGGTTCAGACAATGACGAGCTTTGGTGTTGGGACATCAGTGCTCTCTATTTTGATCAACGCTTGTCGAGTTTGGTTTGGTCCAATGGCTGTAACTTTCATGTGTTCTCACAGCCCCGGGCAAAGTGGGGCCTTTCACGCTGATCACGGGTGAACCGGGGCCTTGACCCAAGACCTCGGATCCTAGGGTCGCTGGAAGCCCAGGGTATATA